TTCTCAAAAGTTATTTTGTTGTCAATGCTCAGGTCAATTTTAATTTTTTATGGTAAATTGCAGGTGGCTCAGTTAAAAGAGCTATCGAAACAACCAGATATATATGAGAGGTTAACTAGGTCTCTGGCACCAAATATTTGGGAGTTGGATGATGTGAAAAAAGGTCTTCTTTGCCAGGTAGAGTAATTTTTAAGTTGAGGCTCTGACTACATTGTTCATACGTTCTGATCAAAGTTATTAATCTTTGCTTTCTATTGTGACACTTGATAATTATTTCACTGTCCTCAATGTAGCTTTTTGGAGGAAATGCTTTGAAATTGCCATCTGGTGCCAGCTTCCGTGGTGACATCAATATTCTTCTTGTTGGTGATCCTGGAACCAGCAAGTCCCAGCTGCTACAATACATTCACAAGCTTTCTCCACGTGGTATATACACCAGTGGAAGGGGAAGCTCTGCTGTTGGTTTGACTGCTTACGTTGCTAAAGATCCAGAAACCGGAGAAACTGTATGATACTATTTTTATCTAATACCTTTTTCTTTTTTTTTCCTTAATCATGTTCTGGTATTGTATGATACCAGTTTCAATTTTCATTTATGTGATGTGTAATTTAGGTTCTGGAAAGTGGAGCTCTTGTTCTGAGTGACAGAGGGATCTGTTGTATTGATGAATTTGACAAAATGTCTGACAGTTCGAGAAGCATGTTACATGAGGTTGGTTCTGTTTCTCTTTTTTGAATGTTACATTTGGTCACGTGTCAATCTACATTTTTGTGTATGTCTATCTTCGCACATTTGAAATAAATGTTTTCGTTTTGAACAAGCAAAACTGTTCTCCGTATGAATTTTGTGAAAAACTAGAACGTTTAGAATAGATATATGTGCCTTATAAGATATTGTTGAGCTGACTGAGGATCCGCCCAAAATCATGAAACATTTCCCACCTGTATTTGCAACTTTGGCCACCTAAACAGGGATATGATGATTTGAACTCTTTTCTAGTTTTGGAGGGTAGGTTATACCCTATTGACTGTAAGCCAAAATACATCAGTAACAGTGACAACAGTAATTTGTTACTATTTTCTGCTGGTAAAAGTAGCCCCAGAAGATTGATTTAGTATATGCTTGCACCAAGTCTTATATGACATTTTCTTAGTGTTTTTCATTGTTGGCCTCCATGTCTTAGCTTAATTTAACTGCAATTCTTTCAGGTGATGGAACAGCAAACTGTTTCAATAGCAAAGGCTGGTATTATTGCTTCTCTCAATGCCCGGACTTCTGTATTGGCTTGTGCAAATCCTAGTGGCTCACGATATAATCCGCGCTTGTCTGTTATTGACAACATACACCTGCCTCCTACTTTGTTGTCCAGGTAAGATTCTGTCCAGTCACTT